AAGTCTGGCTGCCTGTCGGGCTCTCCTGGGAAGCTTGAAAAAGGAGACATAAGTGCAGCCCTACCACCAGGGATTCCAACTCATGTCCTGGTATGCTTTAAAGTTCCCCAGGTGACTAAAGGGCAAGTGGCTTGAGAACCCCTGGCTTACACCAGTGCTTCTCCAACTTGAACTGCATCCAGACCACCTGGGATTGTGTAAAAATGCAGATTCTGGCGCAGTAGGCAGGGGTGAGTCCTGAGATGCTACAGTTCTAACAAGCTCCCAGGTGAGGCTGATGCCGCTGGTCTACAGACCACACTGTGAATAGTGAGGGTCTGAAGCACATCTAGGTTTCTGTCCCTATCTAACATGCTATGACAGTGGTGAAAGCTGTTCTAAAGCACAGGTGTTCTGTATCCATCTGCATCTCTAGATCCTGTCATCCTTATCTGTTGCAAATAAGCAGTCCTTCTGCTGGTGATCAGGATACATGAAAGCCAAACACCAACACGATGGACCGTGGGACATGGTGAAGGGGCAGGGACTATGCAATGGGTTCATATCCCAGTTCTGTTGCTTACCAGCTGTGTGAGTTTAGGCAAGTTACTTAATCTTTCTGGGCCTTAATTGCCTCAACTCCAAATCGAGGATAATAACTCTTATTGCATTGGTATGTGAGGAGGATTAAATGGTTAATAGAGACAAAACATCTTGTACCAGTAGATGCCCAATAAATGGCAACCATTGTTATCTTGGCAGACTTTCCACCAAACTGATCTAATCTTGTTATATGGCTCCCTGCAGGTCAGAGGAACTTTGATCTATGCCCTCTGCACAAAGTCTGCCTTTGATCTGAATGTCAGGTGACACTATGACATAAGATATCTCAAGGCACAGGACCTTCGGACCAGCGTTTCTGTCCTTGCCTGGAGAATGATGGGGCAGAGAAACTATTTCCTCCCTTCTCTGGGTTGTAGATTATCTCCCCATCTCTGTTCTCTGCCTGCCTGTGGAAACTCCCCAATGATTTTTGGTATAAAAACAGAGACCATTAACACTTAGGGTGTTGGCTCAGTGCTGTTATCAGACTAATCATTGGAAGTAATTTACCCAGGCAGTATTAATTAGGTGCCCTGGTGCCAGGGATAGAAGAATGAACAAAAACTTCATAATCTCAAGTGCTGGAGAGGGTGTGGAGAAAAGGGAACCCTCCTATACTGTTGGTAGGACTGTAGTTTGGTGCAGCCACTATGGAAAACAGTGTTGAGATTCCTTAAAAAACTGAAAATAGACTTACCCTATGATCCAGCAATCCCTCTTCTGGGCATATATCTGGAAGAAACTAATTCAAAAAGATACATGCACCCCAATGTTCATAGCAGCACTATTTACAATAGCCAGGACATGGAAGCAACCTAAATGTCCATCAAAGATGATTGGTTAAAGAAGTTGTGTGTGTACGCAGACACAGACACACACGTGCACGCACAATGAAATACTACTCAGCCATAAAAAAGAATGACAGCAACATAGTTGGATGTGGAGATCATCCTAAGTGAAGTAAGCCAGAAAGAGAAAGAAAAATACCGTATGTGGAGTCTTAAAAAAAAAAAAAAAAAAGGACACAAACTTATTTACGTAACAGAGACAGGCACTCAGACATAGAAAACAAACTTACCAGAGGGGAAAATGGGTGGGGAGGGATAAACTGGGAGTTTAGGATTTGCAGATACTATTGTATATAAAGTAGATAAGCAACAATGTCCTTCTGTATAGCACAGGGAACTATATTCAATACCTTGTGATAGTCTATAATGAAAAAGAATATGAAAAGGAATATATATGTATGTATAAATAAATCACTATGCTGTACACCAGAAATTAACAGATTTATAATAAATCAACTATAATTTCAATTAAAAAAATAAACAAAAACTTCACAACCTCTTCACCCTGGAGTTTGTTGTGGGGAGGGGGCAGATGTTGAACAAAAAAATACACAATTGCCACTGTGGAAAGTGCTATGAAGGGAAAGAACAAGTTCTCCTGAAAGAAATACTGAAGCACTTGTGGTGCCATCAGTTTTCATTTAAAAAGAGCCTTCTGAATGCCTGTGTGCAGGCTGGCTTGGAGCAGGGCACGTGGGAGGAGGACAAGCAGTTAGGAGCTCTGACAGCGGTCCAGGCCCAGGTGGTGGCAGTAGAGCAGGCGAGGAGTTGGTGGGACTCCTCAGTCAAGACTAGGAGCAAATTCCCTTCTTTTGTCTTAATTATCATAAAAATGTCACTTCTAGTGGTTTGAATAGTTTTATAATTTTCCCCCTTGTACTCGATACAGAAGACACCATGCCATCATAGGAAATTCTAACAAGTTGTGTGGTTTTAGGCCAGTGGCTTCCCCTCTGTATGTCTCCATCCATCCATCCACCCACCCATTCATTCTCTAAAATAGTGGTAGTGGTAGCAGTCATTGGTATCAACAGGGTCTAACATTCTTTTTTGCCCCGTTGTTGGGGATTCCAAGACAAATTAAACACTCACAAATAAGACATTTTAAGCTTCAAATGAGCAGCAGAAGGTTTAACACTGAGAGCGAGATTTCCTATTCTTTAAGAACTCTTGACTCCTTTTCTTCCAGGCCAGCACAGGTCAGTGAAATTATAATCATACTTCAAGCATAGAATGTATGAGTCAGAAAAGGCTAGGGTCACGGGCCTCTCAAGCCAGAACTACAAAGCAAAACTGCAAAGCACCATCCCTGGCTTGAAACTGGGGAAATATGAGAGGCAGCCGGAGCGTGACTCACCTGCTAACTCCAAATGACACACGCTGGGTTGCAATTATCCCAGAACCACTGCATACAAAGCCCAGCTGGAATGATTTACACACCTTAACTTTAAATTTAAATAGCTCAGTTGTCTCAGGAAATTAGTACTATAGTAAAAACATTTAGAAAATAAAATTTCAAATGTTGCAGATTAGGAAATTTGGAACCAGGGAGGTCAAGTGATGGACCTAATGTCATACTGCTGGCTACTTGACAAATCCCAAGAGCCTGAGGTTAGGGACAAGGAGAACTTTCTTGGGATGGTATCATAAGGAGTTGCAGGATTCTGCCACTAAGACAGACACCCCACCATTAGTTGGCACCTGATGGCAGTTTCAGATTCTGCTCAGGTGAGTTCCAAGGGGGTTGATGCCTCCATGGCCTCTCCTTTGAAGTTTTCCATAATTTGGGCTGGACAGTTCACTGTGAGGACTCTATCCTCTGAATCCTCTAAATCTTAAGGATTCGGGGAAACCAAGACCAGTTCCCTCTCACAGAAAAGTCAGGAACCACTGTTCTTAAGACTGGTTAGTTTAAAACAATTTTTTAAAAAATATAGAATAAATACTAATATAACATACACCCGCGTTCCTGCAACCTGGAATTAATGATTATTGTCATTTTATTGAGGTTTTTTGAAAATTTTATTGTTTAGAATGGCTCAGTCATAAGACACAGGCTGAATCTACCGTCTTGCTTGATCAGCCAGATTTCTATCAAATTAGAATATAGAATTAGGACATGAAAGAGAAAATTTTTTTAAAAAAATATAGTACATAAGTGGACCATGTGATGAGTTTTGACAAATGCTTATCTCTGCATTTTAAGTTGCATTTGCAGTCAGAGCTACATAAAAGGAGATTTTATTTACATAATCTTTTTTGCTGTTTTTCACTTCCTCTTAAAAAAGGGAATAACTTGAGGATTTTTGTTTATTTTCTGGCAGACGATGCTTAGTTTCCAAAAAGGAGAGTAAAAGTTAAGTTTACAGATTTCCAGTGACAGAAATTACACGGAACTAGATAACAATGGAAAGTAAAAGTATAAAGTTTGGTTGCCTGAAACTTTATTCTTTGTTAAGTTTCTAGAAACATGGCTGAATTGGGAGTTGGGAAGTCTTCATTCTAGAATCATTGCTGCCTCTAATGCTTAACTATGTGACTGTTGACCCCTCACTTTCTCTCTTTGGACTGAAAAAAAACCTAACATTTTATGCTTGTGGAATAGCTTGATTCTACTGTCTGCACCTTTATGGTCTTTTAATTATAGCTTTATCCTTTGGTACCTTGTTGACCAGTTGTTCCTAATTTCCGCTGTCGTGTAACAAGGAGTGTTAGGTATGGCCACGAAGGGATGATGACAAGCTAGGCTACTTTATGCACAGAACACATTGCCTGGGTGTCTTTGTGCACTGGACAGCCACACCTGGACCAGCTCTGTCCCGGAAGGTCAAAGTCCACCTGCTCCTGGATCCTAGTTTCACCTCCACAGATTCCTCCATAAACTGGCTTGAAGTGTGACTTTCCTGGTGACAAAAATTGTGGGTTTTTTTTCATTTACCAAACATGGTGTAAACATCTTCTGTTCAAGGCACTGTTTCTTTACCTTTATATGAAGAATAGTCTTGAAGATAAGTTACTTTAGCTATTCCTTAACCACCAGAACTCTATCCTGGCTAAAAACTCAGCCCCACTTCTCACCTAAAAAGCAGAAACTTCTCCAAAGCCATCACTCCCACCTGGTGCTTCTCTGATGCCATTGGGCCACTAACGTAAGCAGTCTTCAATCCTCACCGAGCATTAGGGGCTAAAACTGTGAACTCCTTTGAGAGTTTAGGGACAAGAGTGATGGAGTGGGTCACTTTGGTTCAAACCCAGCACTCTGAACATCAGCTTTAGCCAAGCCCCTTCCTTCTGATTCTGTAAAACAGGAGAAATACTCTCCTTCCATCAGCGTTGGCACCAGCAGGCAGAAAGAGCCCCTCCAAGGAGACCTGGCACAACAGTGACATTCCATGGTTCAGAGAAGGGAGTCTGGATCCCCGTGCTGCCACTGACCTGTGCCATGACCTTAGATGAATGACTGTGTCTTCCTGTGGAAACAGTGAGCGCTCCAAGCCCAGGGTAGTGTACCTGCACACAGTAGGTTTCCAATAAACACTTACTATTCCACTCAGAAGATGAAGCATGACAGTCATTTTTGGAAAATATTTATTAAAAAACTAAAGTGAATGTGGCAAAAAAAAACCAAACAAAAAACCCCAACCCAACACATACCTTTAAATAGCAAGCATATGACACTGGTTATAAAGCTTTTCCAACTCTACTGATCTAGTCTTTCTCACCATCTAAGCCCAGAAGGGCCTCCGAGGGAAGTCACGTGTAAACAGGTGATCTGCACTAGTGATGAGCAAAAACTATGTGAGAACTATCGACGGCCATCTGACTTGCTTCCCTAGGCAACCCACCCCAAACACAAGAGAGTGACCAAATCTCAGGAGTGTGTTCACAGGGATCTGTAATTCTAGGTTTAATCTGGGGGGCGGGGGGTGGGGCGGAGGAAATAGTAGAAAGACAGACAGTATCAGTAGAGGGCAATCTTAGAGCACCTTTAAAATCTGGACCCTTCTCCACAGTTTAACCCAGTGAGTCTCAAATGTGACTGTTGAGGAGAATCGCCTGATGGATTGTTAAATTTGCAGGTGCCCCCAAATGTATGTTGCAGCTGAGCACGCAGGTGATTCTACGCCTACTGGTTAGCCATCTGGTTTGAGAAACACTGTTTAAAATGTGTTAAAAACCATTCCTACCCCCTAAACATAAGATAAGAGTACAGTCAACGAATCTAGCGATAGTCACTGTGCTGTTGCCAGCTTGGAGGGACCAGGTACAGGGAGGCAGGCAGGAAGGAGCCTCCAACTCCTAACGTTCTGGTCTCTAGGGGCCTGAGCCACCGGTCAGGTGCGGGAAGTAAATAAAATGTAATTAATAAAGTCGATTTTGGATCACAGAGTGACCTCCAAATGACTAACCGGCCAATCCCATCCATCCCAGTTTAATGAACTTCGTTGGGCTGGTGCCAGATGGGACACTGCTGTTTAAACAGAACACAGGGTAACCGTGGGTCTTGACTTGTGAAGACATAGTGAATAAAACCTCTATAAAAACCTTTATTAACACATAAGAGTGCTACGCCCAGATAATTTCGGTGCATCACGGACAACACGTAGAAATAGTCACATTGATTCCAAGGTTCCCATTATCTGCAAAAAGATGGGCTATGGCCGTGTCAAAAACCAGGCAGTCGCTGTTCATGATGGCCGCGGACACACCGTCATGGATGGACCGGGGCGTGGCCTCCCAGGTCAGTCTCCTCCGGTTCCCATTCAGCTCCAGTCTGTAGGCGAAGTTCTCTGCCTGCTTGCGGGTGCCGATGAGCAAAACGATGGCAAAGAACTGCTGGTGGCCCTCATACTTCTCTTGTTTCTCCAGCACCAGCATGAAGTGATGGCCGAAACATGACTGCATCATCACCCAGTCGACAGCCCCTGGCAGGTTAATGTCTGTGGCCAGAAAGACGATGTCTTCTCCCTGAAGGGTGGTAATGCTCTTGTGGGCGTGCATGAGATGGGACATCACGGCTTCCAGGGACCCCTGCCATTTGCAGGATGCACCGGGACAAGGGCATGAGTAGGGACGGTATTCACAGATGTCTTCATGTTCCGGCTTCTCCGTGTGGTGCAGGGTCAGAGAACAGCCCGTGGTGGCATACTGCAGGGACAGGAAGAAACACAGTGAGACCCGGGACCTTCTCCAAACCTCTGTGGGTGGGTGCAGACCTCTAAGAGTATCCACCCACCCAGGTCTCCGAGACTTAAACTTTATTCTCATTTCAATGACTTTTGCTCCAGATGAGTTAAATATTGAAGACTGAAAGTCTCAGTGCTTGTTCATCATCCATACTGCCGTGCACGACATCAGAGGCACATCCTGAACCGGGAGTGAACTGCATTCCTGCCCGCATTCCAGCACTCTTAAAAACACGAGAACTCAAGCATTCTTACTAGAAACGTCTCCAACAAAATTGTGGCACCAGCCCTAGAAAACCTGGCCTTTCCCTTATTTTCTGTGAATTTAAAGAATTTTGAAGGGAATTTAGATTTGCTAGGGGTAAGGCAAAGGATATATGGTATCTGGTTTTCGCCTACGGGCGGTTCTGCAGATAGTGTGACTCCTCTCCATCGCCCCCCTCTAATTCTTCTTGGTTCAAATTGTGACCAGCAGGCAGGCTGTGGGAAGGCTGCCCTGGGGTCCCTGCTCTTGCTGCTAGAGTGACCAGCCCAGGGCAGGGGAGGGCTGGAGACCCCTCACACTGCTAGAAATATGACCTCCCCTTCTTTACCTTTTATCCTCCCTGACCCTGAGGGGTGGGGTGGCTCTGAACATACCCTTTGGGAGAAAGGAGATCACATCCAACAACTACTTAACTCGGGAGACTGCTGATCCAGTGTGGTTCCAGTCATTGGAGGTAAAATGAGAAGGGCCTCACCCTCCTCAAAGCCTGAGGGACTTCCCCCAGGCCCCTTCCTCAAGTCCACATGGGCATCTCTTCATGACCAGGCATGTCAGGCCGTTGGGACAGGCCCGGGAGGAAGGAGAACTAAAGTGGGTCCTGGAGTGGGCACCTGTCCTAGATGGGTTTTCTGACAGTCTGTCCCTCATATGCTGCCTTCATAGGGTGGGAACAAAATTTTTTTCTCCCTTGTGCTTAAGATGACATTCCTGATGGATAAATCACATCTGTCATGAGAAAAGACCGTACCAGAAGGAATTAGACTTCTGCACCCAACCTTCATGAGAATGACCACGTTAATTCCCAGAAACCAGATGGAGAATCAGCCCACGAGTAGGCACTTGCCCAGAGTATTACGCTGTTGTTCTGCAAAGAATAAGGAAACCTAAATGACCCTTTCAGGTGAAACCAGAAGTTAACTTCATGCCCCTCGAGCCCAGAGTGGCAGGTGCAGTTTGGGTTCCCCCACCCTCAGCTGAGACACAAAGACACCAGATGAGGGCAGGGCCATGTCATTTTTCTAAGATGCTGTGTCCAGTGCTAACACAACAAAACAAAAGAAAACCTCACAGCCGTTTTTGCTTCTCCCTACCCTGCCTTAGGAAATAAACCCCTTATAAACTTTAAGTAGGTCAAGTTCTAATCTTTCCAGCTGAATTCATCACTGGCAACGCGCAGGCACCGGGCACCTTCTCTTCTTGAGACCCTAAGTTGTAGTCCCAGGTAAGCTGTAGTCACGGAGCAGATACAGAGCAGAGATGGCAGTCAGCACCCTTAGGGAGCTGAGTCTCCCCTAGTAAGGAAGAAGAGGGTGGCTTAAAGAGAGAAATGCAGCTCCTCCCTCCTCAGTACCTCAACTGAATTATAATGGTCTTCAGTGGAAATTGGCAGAAATAGTTCACTGTTACTTACTTTGCCCATAGGAATTGCTGATTCATCTTTTAAAACCATGGACTAATTTTAAAAGCATGGGTATAAAAAATGTAATCAGAAGGAGAAACAAATTTATTTATCCATATATATTTATAGTTTGTGTTCCTAACAGTGTAAGGCCCTGAAAGACAAATCTCTATTACCTGTGTTTTAAATCTAGGGTGAGGCTCGGAATACAGAGCCTTCTGAGGATGTTCTTCTGTGAGTGACGGGTGAGGCATTTCTGCGGAGTGTTTAAAACACACATCCACACATAAATAGCAAGAATCAGCCCAGAGCCTGGCAGATTTCCTGGCTGAAACAAGCCCTCAATATTTGGATCTGCAGACCTTTCAGAATGGGCTGTTTACCACAGCTGCCCAGGAATAATTCCAGGAACGAGATGAACTTTGGCACAGAGCGTTCAGAAAAGTACCACCTGCACCTCCTCCCCAACCCAAAGCCCCAAACCAGTCCATGTTCACGAACTCAAATGTACGACAAATATCATCTGGCAATCATTTTAGAACTTTCTTGTGTAACTCAGGTAGAAATATTTACGTTCAGAATTACTGGTTTGCCTTACAACTCACACACGCTTCCTTCAGCCCACATACAGAGAACAGGGGACCTCCCCAGATTACACAAATAGGAAAGGCATTACTTAGCATCTGGTGGACAGTGACCTTATGAAAAGATCTTGCTACAGCCTTTATTAACTTAAATATAATTTTAAAGTGTGATGTGCTTACTCTGCTTTTTCTAAACAAGCTGAACTTTAATGCCAATCTGTTCCTTCTCTTTTCCATCATGGGTGAGGGCGTGTCTTCATGACCACTGGCACCACTGTTATGACAACTGGATTAGAGATGATCTCTAAAAAGAAAAGATCTAAACTTTAAACATGCGTGT